TTCTCGATGTCCTTCGGTCCAATTTCATGGGTATACGCCAGTGAGATTCTCCCGCTGAGTATCCGTGGACGCGGTTCTGCTTTCGCAACCGGATTTGGTAACTGGCTTGTGGGAACTGTGTGGAGTCAGGTGTCGCCCATCGGGCTAGGTGAGATTACTTACAAGTTTTACTTCATCTTTGTGGCTTTCAATCTCTGCGTCACGTTCCCGACTATCTGGTTTGTGTTCAAGGTACGTACTTCCCTAGAAGAACTAGTTGCAAGGATACATGCTGACCAATCCCCTAGGAGACGAAACAGCTCACACTGGAGGAGATCGACCTGCTGTTCGGCGATCGTGCGCTTGGCACGCTTCCTGACAACTTGGACGACAAGCAGCGGATCATAGAACTGGAGAGGATTGATGCTGCGAAGAAGAAGCTCGCCGGCAACCAAGTTACGGCTGTGCATTAGATTGAGGTGTGTGGAGAAGTCGGAATCTCCGGGCTTGCCATGCCGATCGCATGGACGAGCTGAAAATGCTAAATGGGTTGCTTGAGCTTGCGGACTACAAATGTATTATCGTCATCCACCGGTGCCGACTTCCTCAGCCTGGCGTATAATGTAAAGCTAAAGTCCCCTCATAATGTCGTCAATAGTGACAGGTTTCCGTACCGCGTTCGAGAATCCTTCGTGGAAGGATACCCATATCCTACCCACGTCACCCTGCATCTCCCCACTGTCTTGCTTCCTCTTCGCTTCCTTCCTACTCTTATCCGTTTCTACAATCACCCTGCCAAAGAAGTCCCGTTTTACGGCCTTCTTGCTGGCTTCAGCGACCTTCTCTTCCGTCGTCTTCTCTTCTTTTTTGCTAGCCTCAATCTCCTCCTCGTATTCATCCATACCACCGCGGCGCTTGCGATTGGCATGTTCACGAAGAGCGGATTCTTTGCGCCATTCTTGTTCCAAGACGCTGCGAACTGCGTAGCGCCCCTTGTCGTCTTTTCTGCCTGCAAGCGTTTCAAACGTTGCTAGAACGTCCAAAGCGGGCTCCATACGCCAGACGAAGCCAGCATTTCTGTTCGCTACGTCTTCGGTCTCGATTCGCGACTTTTCGAACCGAATGCCAGTAGCTGTCATTGCTTCTACAGCTTTCTTGACGAGTTCTTTCTCTGAAGCTTTGCGGACGGATGCCGTGGCGAAAGACTTTGACCCTGATGCACCGGTGTTGACGAGAACAGGTTTTACGTCGGGTGACAACATACGCAAGACGTATGGTATGAGCTCCATGGCCATCTCCTCTGGACTTCGAAACATGCGCGTCAACGGTAGACTAAGACTTGTCTGCAGCGCCATCAACTGACTCCTGCTAGCCTTGGTCTGCTCCAAAGCTGCAAAGCTTGCACCCGGTCCTGAGAAAGGTGCTGGCTGTGCATCTGGATCTGCTACGGGGTTTGCAGATGACCGGATAGGCGAAGCGAAGAGGTTGTGGAAGGCAAGGACAGAGTTCGACAGATATGGTGCTAGTTCCCATTCCTGAGATCCGTGAACGGCCGAGTTGATTGTGTCATGGAAGTACAACCATTCGTATGCAGCAGATGGTTTGCTGAGAAGAGTATCGTCTTGAAACGGCTTCTCGGGATAGGCAGTGAAGCAGTCTGTTCAGTGTTAGCATTTGATGAGGCCGTGATATGAGGTGAGACATACCTGTCACGATGCGATCGCAATCCCCGCTCGTATCGACCATCTCCCTAAGACGATCCATAGCTCTCCGTTTGCCTGCTTCAGCAACTCCGATCACACCGCTCTTGGCCCTCACGGCTGCCGATTTTGCATCGGTCGTTTCAGCTTGCTTCGGGAAGCCAGCACCCTCACGGAATACACGGTCGACAACGTCTTTTGCACCGCCTCTCCCCAGGCTTCGAGCGGCTCCACCACCATGTCGCAAGTCGCCAATGAGGTTGTCTTCTATCCACTTCCGCGATAGATGGGGCCTCTCCTTGGACTTCACATCGTGTGATGATCGTAACCGAGCTGCTATCCATTCGGCCACCACCATAACGCCACGTATGTCTCCTTCGCCAGTGCCACTGCCCGTCCCGCCCTCTTTCTTTGTGCTGACACCCCACGTAGCTTCGCAGAGACGGCGCACGCCATCCGAATCGCATTGGATGCCTTCCTTGCCGAAGATCTCCTGCATGCGCGAGACGACCATGTTGAGGGCAGGCTTACGGATATGCACAATCTCAGCCATTGAGGACTGTCGCAGTGGCCGCAGCGAAGGGTGGTAGAGGTCGTTGCAGATAAGGATGAGTGGCCGCAAGAGTCTGAAGTTGTCACCCTTCTTCTTCTTGGTGCCCGCTGTTGACTGCTGCTGACCGATTGCCTTTGTGTTTCGCTCGTCCAGATTAATCAAGTCGATAAGTGCCTTGACGAAGCCACCTTCGCCTGAGCCTCCGCTGCCAACGACACCATCTACTTCATCGACCACAACGCATACTGGCTTTCCAGCTTTTCGCACCTTGCCGTTCACGGTGCTGGTATTGACACCACGGACATTTTCAGTTCCAACCATATCTCGAATGCGGCCTTTGACGACAGCACCGCTACGCTCGTCCGAAGCGTTGATCTCCTGCACTTCATAGCCTGCTTGTCGTGCGCAGACATGAGCTAGGGTGGTCTTTCCGAGCCCAGGAGGCCCAGTCAGCAGCAAAATCTTGCGATGTCTCTGTTCGTCTTCTTGGAACCCGTCCTTTGCTTTCTTTGGCTTCGCTTTGCCAGAACCGGGGAAGACGATTGGGTCCCACGCCTTCAGCCACCGTAACACCGATCGATGTGTACGTTCGTCTCCTACCAAGTCTGTGAATTTCTTCGCTCGGTACTTTTCAGTCCACATGAGTGTGCGATTGGTCTTTCCACCCTTAGCCACTGGCTGCTCGATTGATGGTTGTGCTGCTAGGTCAAGATTCTTCAAGGACGCATTCATGGCCTTCTCCTGATCAAGCGCCTTCGCCTCGTCCATGAGCTGGTGGATGTTGAGACCATAATAGCTCGTTCTCGCCTTTCCTTCCACGGGTTCGGATCGTGCTGCAATGATCTCTTCGTACGTCTGGGTCTCGCGTTGGGCCTTCTTGCCTATATGAAAGGCCTTCCCCCACGCGTTACGGGCCAGAACGCCCGGTGCGGATTGTGCTGAAGTTGGCTGATGCGATGTGTGCGGCCGCTTTACCGGCGATTGTGATTGTGACTTGAAGCTGTAGTTGTCGAGATCGTCTACCGGTATCGATTCGGGGTCTGCGAACTCGTCCTGGCTCGCAGGGGGTGTGTAGTCTGCTAAGCCTTCAGGAACAGCTGGGAGGTCTTTGATGCTGCTGACAGCCCTCCGCTTCAACGTGTGTTCCTTCAGGGCCGCAATGTCTTCTTCATCGTCGGAGTCGTCCAAAAAGCCTCCAATCTTGCGTGTTGCATTGTTGTTTGGCACATCCTTCAGTGGCTCTCGTGCGTCTTCTGGGCGCTTCCTCTTCTTCGGCGAGGGCGGCTGTGGCATCGATGAGCTCGGCGGGTATGCGATGGGTGACGAAATGAGCGGCATTTCGAAAGTCGGAGGCGACGAAGGGAATGTTGTGATGTCAATTGAAGGTTGTGTAGGGAGGCGCTTGACTGGTGACTGCTTCTGGCGCTTTGCAGGCGTATCTGGCGGGATTAGTACCGGTTACAGCGCGCGTGCACGCTGGTAGTACCAGCTGGTCCTTCTCCTTCACTCCTGAATATATCCGCTACGTTCCAGGCGCGATGCTGTATGACGACACCGGCACTATTCTTCTTTGCGGTGTCTTCGGCGATGCAGTCGTGCAATGCGTCTAGTTCGTCGGAATGCGAGGATGGGGCGGGCGCGTTGTCGAGAAATTCGAATTCGGAATGTAGCAGCGCAGGGTCAAAAGAGGATGGAATGCCTGGTGAATAGCTACTCATTGGTTCTGGCAGGCGTCATGGTTGGAGTTGGAGGAGACGCGGGTGACGGAGCGGAGATCTAAAGTGCGTGGGACGCGTCCACATGTCCACGGGTCGCGTTCAAGCGCGTTTTGCCGCTAACCGCTTTCGCTTTCGTCTCATGCAATCGATTGGCTTGCCCACGATGCTTGACAGCAATTTTATCCCGCAGCAATATGTTGATCAACCACACCACGCTATCTTACTTTCAGACTTTGATGTTTGTTACGACCTGAATTTGCGGTTCGTTACTTTTTCCGTGTTCGTCTTTTCGAACACCCTGCATCCTCACAAGAGCTTCAATCTGCCCCTCGCACAATGCACTACGCTCCACATCCTTAGCGCTTTCTACGCGTACAAGACACCTGAGCAGTTAGGAAGTAAATTTTGTACTCTTCAGTATTCGCGAGGAGTCAAATCGGAGTCATACCCCGCCCCACCTTGGTGAATGGATCAGCCCGACTTTCAACAACTCTTTTTCTAATTCGACGTTGGAATAATGTTCTAACACGAGGTCAGAACGGGCTAGAATAGAAGCAGTAGCAGTAATATGTCTATCAGTTCTCAAGATGTACATCAAGCAGCAACTGCCAAAAGCTGCTTGGCGCAGCGGAAGCGCGCCGGGCTCATAACCCGGAGGACCTCGGATCGAAACCGAGAGCAGCTACATGTTGTGCATGTTTCTTTTGTTTTTGCTAGACCTTTGTCCAGGTAGTTGATCACCTACATCTCTAGGCCGGGGTTAAGCAACCCCTTTTTGCTACCCCCTTCGTCCATAGTCCCAACATAAACTGCTTTTATCACGGTCATGATAATCATACTTTCGAGATTATAAGCTGTGTCGTATGCCACTGCTACGTTCTTTAGCGACCTCACTTTCTTTCGATGCAACACCTGACCTACTCTGACACGCTTTAGGCATAGTTCACTATCTGAGTCCAGGTAGGACAGGGAACTCAAAAGACAGAAGATCAAAAGGACAAATCACTCTCGACTTCTGATTCTGCTCCGACCAACTCTACTAGCACTACATCAAGTCTTGACTGTGACCCAAGTACAACCACTATCCTCTTCCCATCCTCTCCAAACCTTCTCGCATTGCACCTTCCACTCCTTCTCCCCAAGCTGCCTTTCCACAAACTCAACAAGGCTCATCCTTCTACTCGTCCACTCCCAATATCCCCCTTCGACCCCTTCCTCCCCACCACAACTCGCCAGCCAGGCTCCAGTCTTTGCGCCCTCATCCGTATCCACCGCGACATACCTTTCCGTCGTTTTGAGAACGGCGAAAAGAGGGTTGCTCAACCATGTTTTCCAAGAGACGGCGAATTTGCCGAAGATGGGCGTAGACGTAAACCCAGGACTGAATGCTTGTGCTGTACGGTGGTTTTTTGGGCTGGAGTCGAAGCGGCGCTGGAGAAGAGCGGCGAAGAGGACTTGGTGTGCTTTTGATAGCGCGTATGATTGAAGGGTAGTCGTTCCTATACCAAGATACGCTTTTGTCTTGTGCAGAAGCTTCTGCACAACGCCGCCCTCATCACTGGTGGTCTTTGATGCCACGGCTTCCAGATTCGGGCGCATCAATGTCTCTGCGGCGGCGTAGTGCCCAGTACTACTCGTAAAAACAACTCTTGCCTTCTCGCCTAGATATCCTTCGAGCAGATTCGTCATCAAGAAGCTGCCCAGAAAGTTCGTGACAAGAACCACGTCGCGGCCTTTCTCATCCTTAGTCCTCGAACCTTCAGGCGGCCCCGCTATCCCAGCGTTGTGACAAAGCATATCAATCTTCTTGCCCTCCTCTTTCCATCTCTCGCAAAACACACGTACACTCTCCAAATCTCCAACATCGAGTTTCCAGCAAAACAACCTTTTGCTAGCCTCGGACCCGAGTTGCGAAGCGATGGAAGCCACAGCTGCATCGCCTTTTTCGAGATTGCGGCAGGCGAGATACACGACTGCACCTTGTTTTGCTAGCGCAGTTGCGATCGAAAGACCGATGCCGCTGTTCGCGCCTGTCACTATCGCAGTTTGGCCTTGCAGATCGCGGTGGGGAGGGCGCTGAGGTTTGTAAAGGCGTGCGAAGATGATAGTAAACATAGCTTTTGCCATGGAGGTGTAGAAGCTGAGGTAGTCGGATAGCGGCGCCATGTTGGAGATCCACGATTCCAGGGCTTTCGTTGCGAGAATGATTGTCTGGGATGATGCGAAAGCGTATCTTGAAAGGTAAATTCTGGCGCATGCTACCTGCCTTGAGCATATGTACAGGTGGAGGGCAGCACCGCCAAGGTCAGGTACCTAGGTCATGACGCGCACATTGGCTACGGGGCAGTCGCAAGTTCCTGTCTAGATCACGTTGGGAGATTCTGTACCAGGCACGATGGTTTCGCCTTGGATGGGTGAGTGATGAGACGCATGGTATGACGCATTATGGACGGATCGTACGAGTGGGACAAGTGGGGTTGCATGGCTGAAAGCGGCTAGCTTTGCGCACGCTTCCCGTCGCTGCAAGAAGGCTGACAGCTTGGAAGACGGCTACACTAAAACAGCGAATAGACTCGCATCATGAGACTGTTCGCAGAAATTCACATGCAACGTGGTGCTGCATAAAGAATTGGAAAGGCTAAGCTGTACCTAGCTCAGCCGTTGGCCAAGCGTATCGTTTGCTAGGTGAACTGGCTGAAGTCAATTGTGCCTGTGTAGAAGCAACAACGCGACGAAATATGGATATTACCCATTTACAGCTGACGATGCGCTGTCAAAATGTGACGCAGAATCGAACGACCGTGCTGGCGCGGCGGAATGTGAGGACACCGTTGACGTACGGTGTTTGCGTCTTGAAGAGGGGTGCATCATAGCTCGTTAATTGAAGGCACGGGAATTGAGGTGTTGAGGATAAGTAAACGAAATCAGAGTGACGTTGCGAGCGAAAAGGACGCGCGATAAGAATTCTGACCTTCAGCTCGCCCTGCTCTCCCACTTCTTCGAAATAATCGCTACAATGACCGAGAGCAAGACCCCAGAAACGCCCTGCCCAGCGCCAAAAGCAAACATCACAGAAGCCACGTTGTGCCGAACAGACTCCGCAGCCGCAGTCAGTCCGACGGTTTCCTCCCAAGACCTCGATTCAGAAATATCCAAAGCCGCGCACCAAGTCCAGCTCATCGAGTTTCTCGGTGCGCATCAGCGATCTATCAAATACGCATCATATGCAGTCGAACAGGCCCTTCGTGGAAAGCAATCGAACCGGATGAGCGGCGAAGATGTTGCTAGGAGATGGCTTCATACTGCGAAGGAAGAGATTGAGAATTGGTCAAAGCAGACGAAGCAGATGGTGGATGAAGTGGAGGAAGCTGGCAGCACTAGGAGTAGCTAGACCTTGTGGGGCATCTTGGTACATACAAACTGCCACATCTTAATAACAAGGCCGCTCCCAAGATCAGGCATACGCATTGCTCAAAATATACTTGTGGGACTGTGACGGAGAAGGCAAGATTTGTACATGTTATAATGCTAGTAAACGTAGGCTGATTGGTTACTGCTCTTTAGCTAGATCAACAAGTATACTGTGTCGATGAAAACCGCGCGCTTTCGTAGTCTCGCATGATCCCTGAACAGCCATCTCAATGCTGACGATGAAGATGATTGCATAGCGGGTATTGCTGTCAACGAGTTGAGATGTGTCCAATGATCCATCAAAACCCTTTTGCACGGCGATTGCAACAATGATGTTTTGGTACTCTGCTATTTGTCGAGATGAGCTTGGAACATCTCAGGGTATCGATGACCTGAGACATGTGCCTTGCTAAGAGCTTCGTGAAGCTCTTCAGTCTCGGCTTCGGTAAGCTCTACGTACTTGGTGTTCTCCAGGACGCGCTCCACTTTGGTGGAACCAGGAATAGGCAAAACACCCTGCTGCTGTACCCAAGCAATGGCGACTTGGGCGCTGGTAGCCCCCTTCTTTTTAGCAACTTTCTCAACAGCACTAGCTAGCTCTACGTTCTTCTCGAAGTTGCCGGGCTGGAAGCGTGGGTAGAAACGGCGGAAGTCGTCCTGGGGGATATCATCGAGAGTTTTGAACTGTCCGGTGAGCCAGCCGCGGTCGAGGGGACTGTAGCCGACGACGGGGATGCCAAGCTCGCGGCAAGTGTCGACGACGCCTGCCTCCTCTAGAGCACCTTGAGAAAACAGACTCAGTTCAATCTCAACAGCGGCGGGAGGATGTACGGCGTGAGCACGACGGACGGTCTGAGCGTTCACCTCGCTGAGACCATAGGAGCCAATCTTGCCCTCTTCGACCAGTTCAACAAGCGCCTTGACAGTCTTCTCGATGGGCACTTTAGGGTCAACGCGCGCGGGCTCAAAGAGATCGATCGTCTTGGTACCGTCGAGCAAGGTCAGACACTCGTCAACGGAGGCTCGAATCTCCTCCGGACTAGCGGTTGGTGACTGAGTAGCTCCATCGTAAGCGCCCTTGATGCTGAGCACAACGCGCGATGCATCTTTCGGGTACCTGGTAAAGTAGTGCTTGAGGAGCTGGAGAGAGTTCGCATCTGGAGGCCCGTAGAAGGTTCCCTGCGAGGATGTCAGCCGATACTTTATATCAAAGCTTCTGGCGCGGGTCGTACAGCGTTCCAAAATGTGGCACCGTTTTCCAAAGCGGCCTTCATTGGCTCGATTGCCTCGTCATGAGTAATGCCACCGAAAAGCGTTAGGGCTGTGCAGATGATGTTTAGCGACTGTGACGGCGCATTACCGTCGTTTGAATGGCAACTCACTCATCAGACCATAGCCAATGGGACCGACAGGCTTCCCAGCGATAGTCTTCGGGGCGGATGAAAAAGACATATTGCTTCCGTGTTAAAGATGAAGGTGAGACGTTCGTGAAAGGAGTTGAAATCTTTGTGCTAGACCAGTCCAGGGCAGTGAGATATGTATCTTTAATCTTGCTTCAATACGCGTCAGGCACCTTCTTCGCCCGATTAACCCCGCCAGGGCGGCCAAGCTGACACTGGCTGACTCTGCCGCGTCGGACATAAGACACTACCCGTAATTCCGCCCTGTATGTGAGTCTGACGTTCTCGATGACTGCAGTAACGTGGGACATCTCAATCAGCCCCGGCTGCGCTGGCTAACGTCTCGGCCAGTGTCTAATGCCCTCTCCGGTGCGTGTTTCGTAACAGCAGCTCAATTCCTCTTCTCGGCCCGCCTGCTGGAAGAACTAGCTAGGTCCTCGCCCAACGTTGACGCGGCAAAAGCCTAGCATACCTAACTCGTGACATCTTCGTGGGAGCTGATCTTGAGACGGTGATGAGTGTCTTTGTGGTGGAAATCAGGACGTCTTGCTTCTCTTTGGCTGGAGCGGCTTTTACTGTTCTTCTGGCTTTACTAATTCCTCTGAAGGTATTGGAGTGCTGAACGTGGTATTCCAATCATGTGTCTCTATATGGACGAGCAGTGGCTACAGCCGAAGCACAACGGAGTTCCGGCGGAGGGGGAAGGCGCCTGTAGCTAAGACTGGAGCCAGGCCATGATTCGGGCGGGTCAGTATGGAGGGAGTGAGGAAGCGGCTCATGATGGATGAGAACGTAATGCGCGTTCGTGGTCGACGGGACGATGGGGCCACGACCTCGGGACTGTGAAGGCGTGAGGATGGTGCACGTCGCAGCTGCATCTTTGGGCTTCTGTCGCGGTGGACCGTGCTGGCCAGTCAGAGCGACGCTCTCGACGCGACTGCTTACGTCATGATTTTTGCGTTAGTGCGATGAGAGAACGCGTTTCAAGCGCTCGTGCTCTCCTAATGCCTCAGTTACTTTCCAAGATCCCATATTGCACGACGATGAGGTGCCACACCTTTGATGCTTGGGCTGAAGAGTCAAGAGCAAGTCACAAGCATAAAAATCTTGGCGCATGGCTCTTGCACAACAGCCTGTTGCTACCTTCCGACGTCCATGAAAAGAGTCCATCGTGATTAGAGCGACGCATGCGCTACATCATGCTGTCTCCCAATTTTCTACACGACGCCAACGATGCTATTTACGAGGTGTGCTGCGGCTGTCATTGAAGTCTGACGTTGTTGCCGAATACCCGTCCGATCCGAACTCCCAAACGAACGGCGCCATCAGTGCGGGTCGGTGGGTATCGTCCTGTTTCAGCGCCAGTAACGGAAACGACACGATTGGACGTTCACTTCGAAGGAACCTGACAGCGGAACCCACATCCTGTCAACGCACGACAAGCCTTGGTTCAATTACGGAGTGGAACCTGCGAAATTGGGTGGCAGTCTCGATTTATTAGATGGACTTCCTCCCAGGCCGTTGTGCCATATTGCTGTGTCTGACTACGATATATCTTTCTTCCTTGTTGTTGTTCTTTTTGCTTTGCAGCTGCGCTGCGTCCTCTCATTACAATGCTTTTCAACTTCACCGACAACGCGCTAGCCGCTCGTCACATCCAGAACGATGCCGATGTCGAATATACCATCGACTATTGGGGTTATGCGGTGCGGAACTTCCCGTGCACCAATGATGCCGGGTCGTGCGAGTATCTTGATTCCGTTTACGGCAATCACCAAACATCGATGATCTTTACCTTCATTTTCTGGGCTGTCCTTGGTGCGATCCTACTTGCGATTCTCGTATCTCGACTTGTTCGACCACGAAGAAAAGATGGTGCCAGACAGAGCCTGTTGTATCGCCTCGTCAGGCTGACATCTTCAACTGTACGACGACATCTCATGCCTGAATGCTCCAAGGTATTCAGATATACTACGAGGTTGCAAGTCCTGATCCTGGCGCTGCTCTGCGTCTATCTGACAGTCTTTTCGTAAGTCAGGATACCCTTACGGCATAATATAGCTGACGTTCAAAGGTTCACCGGGATCACCTACAAGACGTGGATTACACCCATCAAAGGCACCAACCTACACAACACCCGCAGCGGTATTGGTGGCTTTGCCGATCGCGTTGGTGCTTTCGCCTTTGCTTTGACTCCCCTGACCATCGCTCTGTGTAGCCGCGACTCTATGCTCAGCATGGTCACAGGTATCCCTTATCAAAGTTTCAACTTCTTGCACCGCTGGACGGGCCGCATCATCCTTGTCCAATCTTTCGTACACGCGATCGTGTGGACGATCGTTGAAGCAAAGCTTTACCAACCCCAACCAACAACGTACAGAAAATTCATCAGTCAGAAGTACATGATCTGGGGTTGTATCGCACAAGGCTTCATCACCTTCTTGTTCGTCTTCAGTCTCAGGCCGGTAATCCGCTGGACGGGTTATGAGTTCTTCCGCAAATCGCATCTCATTGTCGCTGGCCTCTATCTGGGAGCCTGCTGGGGCCACTGGGAGAAACTTTCGTGCTGGATGATTGCATCACTAGCCATCATGGGCTTCGACTTGGTCGCCCGCAGCGTCCGCACTTGGCTCATTCACACCGGATACAAGGACGGAAGTCTCGGTCTCGGTTTCCGCTCCATTCCAACAACCATGGAAACGTTCAAAGACCCAACGGGTACCATTGTGCGCATGACATTCGCTCACAGCCATAAAGCCTGGGAGATCGGCCAGCACTACTATCTGACCTTTCCCGCGCTCAACATCTGGCAATCGCATCCTTTCACCCCGGGATCTAATCCTACAAGCTCATCTCCGGTGCAGAGTCACACATACATCATCCGCGCCTGCAAAGGCGAGACCGCCAAGCTCGCTGCTCTCGCTGAACAAGCCGCCATGTGCTACCCGCGTCGCGATGCCTCCACGCCAGTCATAATGATGGGACCATACGGCAGCGCCATCACGAACGACGAGGTCTCCAACGTTCTCGCTGTATCTGGCGGTACTGGAATTACCTATACCCTTCCCGTGATCATGCACGCATTAAGCGACGCCTCCCCTGCGCGCAACATCGAACTTGTCTGGACAGTGCGACACCTGGAGAACCTTGCTTGGATTGCGCCTGAACTGGCTTATCTGAAGTCACAACTTGACGGTGCCGGTCTAGATCGGGCCTACACCGATGATAAGCTAGAGAAGGCACCTATAGTCTCGGTGGATGCGAAGAAGCGCTTCAGAATTCGCATCTTTGTCACTCGACCCGATACGACGAAGTACCAAAAGCCATCTCATCAGCTCCATGACGACAAAGACAAAGACTTTGGTGACGGCGGCTCATTGTCGCAAACTTCTTCTATTGAATCCATGTCTCTCGACCGCAAAGTTGAGGAGCTCAGCCGCCAATGCCCTAACTTCACTATCACATGGCTTAACAACGCACGACCGGATATTCCCTCCTTGGTCAACACATTCATGACCGAGACGGTCGAGAAGGGTAGGACGCAGGTTATCGGTTCCGGTCCGCCTGAGCTAGGTACCCAGCTTAGGGCTGCTGTCGCGGCGAAGAACGTGCCTGGAAACGTTTGGCGGGGCGACGAGGCGAGTGATGTCGAGTGCGTCTGGGACGATCGCATGGGATAGGATGGTAGATGGACACTCCTTGATTACTTTCGCTGTAGATATTTGAAGCAAAATGTGCATACAAAGAGACACACCAGTCTCTCAACTTATTACACTGGGCCTTACTTCCACGCATTCTTATCAACCGTCTGCGCATAGTCAAGGCAGCTCTGCCCTCGACCTCTTCACTGGCACATCATGCAACTCGCTCATCCCCGCCACGAGCCCTCCAGAGTTACCGTTGTCAGTGTTCGATGCAGGGACCTTTTCTGTTTCTGCGTTTGCAAATTGCGGTTCCGATGCGGCTTTGCTCCACTTGCGCTTGCGCAGTATGCAACACGTTCCAAGCAGGATGAGAGCTATGCCAATGACACCACATACAGATCCTATCGCTATCTTCGCGCCTATGGGCAGACCAGAATTCGTGTTTTGGGGTGGCGAGGGGGAGGCTGTTGCGCTTGGGCTCGTTTCGCTGCTAGTGAGAGCTGAAGTTGAGCTGTTGCCAGCGCTAGAGGTTGACGAGGACGTGAAGGGGGTGGTACTGTATTGCGACCAGACTGTCAGCGAAGATGTTCCATGGAAGAACTGTAGCGGTAACGGGAAAGGATGTGACTGACCTGCTGATCGTCGAACTCGATGAAGACGATAAGGCTCCCGCATCTTCGATCGCAAATCGTCCGTTGAAGGTGTAGGTGCAGTCGTTCACGCCTGCATCACAGATCGCCATGAAGTAGTTGTCTTTGCCTGCAAGCACACCAGATGGTATCCATGTATAACTGCCGTTGTTAGGCGTCTCATCTGGAGCTATCAGCTTTCATCCCAATACTTCTTGCGCCACTGAAGCCTGGAGGTTAGAAGAGTCTTACTTGTTATCAACACCGCGGTTGTATCAGCAAAACGAAGATCAATCGACACGGGACCTGAAGTGCCATTGGACCATGAAATCAGGTACGGTTCCTCAGCTTCGATGACTTCGCCCGCTGCAGGGCTGCTCATGAAATTGTTCCCATCACTGCACGCGACGCTGAGAAAGTAGAAAACAGCAAACAGCTGTTTAAAGAGTATCATGACCGATGCAATGATGGATCGCTGGGGTGGGAAAAGGTTTGGTATGCGCGTCACGCGCCATACCCAGGTATGTGTACCTACCCGCTACGTGTGCAAAGCCCCCTAAAGGACTGCCATTGCCACAATGGGCAATTTCGAGTTGGTGCGGCTGAGGGTCGTCTGTGGGGGTGGTATTAATTTTGTTAGGCTGAACCAATACGCAGTCAGGTTGTGTAGTGCAAAGGCGCAGTGGCTGTACCTAGACGTTCATTCTGCAGGCTCAAATTAGCATCGCGCACGGCTCAATACAGTGACTATTGGAAAGGAGCGATAGCTAATCTCATAACAAAAAGATGTTCAATTTGATTGGCTCATGTTGCGTATCCAGTACGACAAGCTAGAGAATGGCATTCGTGGCTGGTTTCAGCCTTGCGGCATGAGTTCAGCTCTCTTTGCGGGAGCACCCGGAAGCCTGGCAAAGCAGTTCAGCCTCGCTTTCCAATCGCCGTTCACACGTAACGAGATTCTCATGCCACAGCTGTTCTGTCCATCTTCAACTCTTCTCTTCGCACGGTCTACAGCCTCTTCGTGCCAGGTGAAATAATCGAGTGAGCGTGTGCATCAACAACGCCAGCATACTGACAAACTTGAAGTGGGAGAAGTCTTCACCAAAGGCAATTACACAGTCCAACGGCGTACAGGTAGAAAGCTGACATCGCTGGCGCAACATCTTTCCCCGCCGTGGATAGCTCCGCTACCAATAGTGAGGGTTGTTCAGCGCGATGGCCGTACAATGGCGCCTCTATCCAGTATGTATAGCCATTATATTTGTGCTTATGTAGGTGTTCGCTGGGATAGGGAGCACCCCATTCAAAGGAAAACCGGAACACCCTAGAGCCTACATCAAGATGAAATCCTGCGAAGTTAGTGGCCTAACGGCGACGTGGGCTCCTGGGTATCCAGTTTTTCCCTTGTGTGAGGTGGGAGGGCGCGATCGCCAACTTCGAGACGCTGAGACGTGGTATAGGCATGCTTGAGGAGGGCCGTAATGCGAGGATACATGCGAAGGATATCGAACTTAATTGACGTTAGTGGTAGACAACAATGAGTTCAATGGGAAGACGTACCAGAACAACGCGACAACGGATGGTATGTTGATCGAAGCTAACAGAATTCCACACATCGCCATTTGTGACTACCTTGTACAATTCTCGAGCAAGTCTCTATTGTAAATGCAGCTCAGCAGCAGGGAGTAGCATTGTAAAGTTTAGAGGGTTAGTTGTAATATCGCGTCTAGCGAACTGGATGACGCAGACACTCCTAATGGTCTCTTCTTTCCAAAGTCCGTGTGCGAACACGGCGAAGCGGCTTTGGTTTCTCGAGTGGCAATCACCGTAATGGTCTTATTCGATGAGCGAGAAGACATGTCCGGGATCCAGTTTAACTGAAGCTTGAGTCGGCGATTTCGCACGCGCGGCCCTAGAGGATGCTGACACGCTGTCGTGATATGCGTACAAACGGGTTGCGCTCGACATGTTCGATGTTTGCGCAAAGTCAGTGATAGGACAATTGGTAGGCAGGGAGTCAATAGAGCCTGGGCTGGAAGAGTCGATGGTTAACCATGATGCTCGCCCGAGGATCTGGTGTTCAGGGCATGCAGGGCCTTGCCGCTAGCGCACCCGACGCGCCAACGCCCGCGGTCCCCGCCCAAAACACTGACACGTGACTGAGCGCGTTGGGTCTCAACGGTCAGTCAATTCTCTCGGCTTCCTGCTTTAGAAAACGAAATTGAATGAGCGGCTTTTCATGAGACCCTCTGATTCTATCATGAGTGACTACAGTAACTCAGTCTACCTGCAAACAACGAAATGAGCCCAACGAAGCCTCGCGATACCCCCCAGCACCGGCTGCCTCTGCGAAGCCCAGAACACGACCAAACGAATTACATTCCAGGTAGCGCGTGCTACCTCGAGGAAGCGAGAGTACCGAGCAGTTCAAGAGCTAGCTCTCGCCTCCACGTCACCAACCCATCGCTCGCGAACAGTTCTTCATCGTCAAAGCACGTCCACGCCTCGAACCTCGCATCGGTGTCCTCTTCTATCGAATCATCGACATCGATTAAGATTGTGCAGGCGACAGTGCTCTGGTCTTCGGTACCCGTTCTTCCAGGTCCACCACCGTCATCGTGATCTCCAACGACTGAGGCTCATGACGCATGGCTCTCCCTCCCAAGGTTCCCGCTGCGCCCCACGGAAAGGCGATATTTCCTTGCCACGTTCTCATCTGAAGGTGAGAGAACGGATTTGTACACGTCATATGCTTGATCGCGCGATGCAGTCCGTGCGTCCTGGGATGGTCGAAGGTCTACTATATAACAGCACTCTTCCTCATACCTACACCAACAATCAATCCACTCGGTGCCACCGACGCTCTCCACGGCAGGACGATCGCGCCGGCTATGACCTCACTTCATAGTGAGTTCAATATCGATGTGCTTGCGGCGGAGTAGGAGCACTATGATACCAAGCTTCTCGCACAGCGCCGCGACGTGTAGCGGTGCTCGGCCGTGAGCGTCTCTATGATTGACATGCACCATGAGGTGAGTGTGACTCTCGTGCGTTGGATCATCTTCAGGTAAGAGCATTGTTGAACTGAGGCTGCCGTTACGAGCGGCTCGATACCAGATGTTCTTTTTTCTGGGCTTGAGCAAATGCTAATTCGAGTAGCCCTCTTTCCACGGTATCGGCGCACATTCCGGACGGCTTTGTCGCAACAATCGAGCTTTGACGGGTCGCATACAAGAATACCTTGATCAAGTCCAACAGCATCTGTACCAGACCCCAGTGTCCTTCCGAGAGCCCCTCGAACAGCAGCGAAGTCCAGCTATCCCTCACGTCACCCCGATCGGCCTGGCCATGTTCCAGTAATACGCGCAGCATCTTGAGACTGCCGTCCTGCGCCGTCGCATGCCGCAGCCCATCTTCGAAGGACCGAAGGGTCGATTGACATCGACATCCTGTCGATGTGGCAAGAGCGCTACCGCCTCTGTGTATCCACCAGGAACAGCGGCCTGCAGTGGCATCATCTGGAGGCCAGATAGGTCCGGACATCGACATCGAGTTCTTGGTCGTCGAAGGCTTTGCGCATCAGCGGTATGACATCCACGTACCCTCTAGGGCCTGCAAGATGCAAGGTAAGTGAACTCATGTATCTCACTTGGTGTTCTCTGCTGACGATTACTACAAGATGCTGGATTAGTGTATCCACGAAATTGAGATGGTCTTTCGATGTCGCAATCCCCAGAGCCGATATTCGTGGGTGGTGCCTGCCATTCCAGAGGCTTGGCTGAACTCAACAACTACCATCGCACCTGCCCGCCTCAGGTATGTCAGACAAGCATCACGTCATGTCCTTCGTTCCTTCTTCTCAGCTCATCTCACTTCTGAATTTCTTCAACCCTTCTCGAGCGGCATCATGGCTTCTCAAGCCTACTCCACGATTGCTGACCTGGCTTTCGAAGTCCTCTCCTGCGACCGATCCGCCTCTCAACTCGCCCGGAACATGTTCCACAACCGCGCATCTATCTCCGAAGCCTTCGACTATTTTGCGGTTCTGTTTCCAACATCTTTGCTCGCAATTCTGCAAAGTTCCGTGCCGCCTTCTCCAGATTCTCTCTTGGCCTGTTCGCTTCCTCTCGACATTATCTCCTCTTCTACGTGGATTGTCTATCTTCACTTCATGGAGAAGGATGGCGAGCTGTTCATCAACGTCTACTGTGGATCCGGGACCGCTGACTCTGGCGCGATCACACGGATCAAGCAATACGAAAGTTACTTTGCCGGCCGTGCTAATGGTGCTCAAATTCCAACGTGCATCAAAGACCTGGTTGCAGAAGGTTACGTTCTGAAAGGAACGTCATGTCTGGCCGCAAGCACGATTTTCAGTGACGCGGCTGACTTCAACTTCGAGCGAGCACTGATCCTACTCCTGGAATCAACATTCACAACGAAGCTCTGGTTCTTTAAGTCAGCAACCTTTGGATCAGTCACTCCTTTGTCACTCTGGCCACAAGCAACACTTCCATATCGCGGTCTGTGTGGCACGTCGGCAGTTCGGGAAATTGCCCCGCCAAAAGTTTTCGACGTGCTCAGTGTTAAAGATGAGAGCACTTACAAAGAGAGGGAGCAGGACAGGAAAGAGAGGCAGAAGGTGTACAGCGCAAAGCAGCATTCGGTTACGCTTTATTGCGAAGAATGTCCTCAAGGATACAAAACAAAGTATGAGCACAACATGAAAAGGCACAAGAAAGTATGTGGACTTCCCAGAAAGCCTAGGGGAAGGCGCAGGACGATGAGGCAGATCGCACTCGACAAGGCTGCAGCAGAAGACAGAGCGGAGTCAGATCGAGTGGAGTTGGCGTCAGCAAGTCATGCGGCTTTGTCCGATGACGAGTGGATAGGAGATTAGGAGGGCCAATAGACAAGGTGTGAGCTTATTTGTAGCGTTTCAAGGTTTCATAATGTTTCGAGGATGAATGTTTTCGATGATATAATACAATAGTCATTACCGAATACTTCATGATCGAGATCCCATTTTCATTGCTATCTTCATCTTTTGCAAGAAAAATACGCAACACCCTGGAGTCTACGTCAGGTATTCGAGCAAAAGGTTGACGAAACGTTGACACAATGTAGGCTTCTGGGATGCCTCAACCACCTGCATCGAAGGTAGAACCTTGAGATACCCTGCTGTCTACATCAGTATCAAGATAGTAAGTTGGCAAACCCTGAACGCAATGTAGGCTTCTGAGATACCTCAAGCTTCCACATCGAAGGTAGAACCTTGAGATACCCTGCTGTCTACATCGATATTAAGATAGTAAGTTGGCAAACCTTGAACGCAATGTAGGCTTCAAAGGACATCATGACCCTGTTCGTTCAGGACAAACCTGAATACAATGTGGAGTCTACATCAACGCCAGATATTCAAATATGCTTGTTTATTTCCAGTGTAGTCTTCAAACCTGTGTGGCCATTCAGGTGCGTTCAGGAGACGAATACTCGATCTCTGTTTCTCACTTTTCCTTCAATCATTCATTACCTAGGTACCAATATGGTTGGCATTAGTGTTATCGATAAAAATACCACAGTCATTACCGAAACGCTTGATCACCGAGATGCTGTTGCTTTTGCTGTGTTTGTGAAGGAAGGTTGATGACCGCAGGCCCGGGGTGACGCAAGGATCGGGCCGATCTATGTAGATCGACCCCTCCAAAAGCTGCCCCGCCTCAATCAAAGAGAACACCAACACCAAACACCCTGGAGCCTACGTCGACGCCAGGCTTTCCAATTTGCTTCTTCGATCCCAACGTACTCTTCAGTCCTGCATGTTGCCTTGTATGAGACGTCACCCGCCGAAATCCGGTATGTTGGCGTCTTCATCCAGCCTCATGAAAGGAATGCTTGTCCAGGCGCGTTCAGGAGACAACTGCTTTATTATGAAACCAAAAGGCTTCCGTGCTACGCGATCTACCCCCAAATCAAACTAAACCGCCAACCTATCAAAAGATGCTCTCTAGGGAGAGAGATCGAAAATAAAACTGCACCCATCTTCAGCTACGGAGGCCGAACACTGTTCCATTCCTGACGTTCCCGTGGTGTGTTCCAGCCAAGTACCGAGCTCACGCACCAAGCTCATCTCGAACCAGCACGACACCACCAAGATATTGCTAAGCATCGAGAAGACAGGAAGAATATGCCAACTACCCCTAGATGCTGCACAAGAAAGACGAAACATCATCGTTCATAGTGGAGAATGAGCCGTGGGAGCGGATGTCGGCAACCTCACCAGTGGTAGCAATCTCGCCGTTTCCATTTCGGCAACCGGTATCACTACGAGATAGTCAGCTTATGCAACCCCAGACCTAAACTCTGCGACCACTTACTTGTAGAAGATGCAGTTATGGCCGTTCGCCTTGAGCGAGCTGACCTTGTCGTTCAGCCTTCCAGCACCCTCTGCTGGATGTTAGCTACCAAGTTGTAGAGACTGGAGGTGTTGAGAAGGACTTGCCGCAGACGCCAAAGTGAAAGTTCACGTTAGTGCAATCGTTGAAGTCCTTGTTGGAGCAGAGCTGGACGCTGGGGTTGAGCTGCCTCTGCTGGATGGAGGCGGCGAAGGCGGCCGAAGAGGCGAAGAGGGCGAGGATGATGGTCTTGGAGAACATTTTGTTGGGATGGGATGAGTCGGTGGAAGACTTGAAGTGGCGAAGTGTGATGATTGAGTGATTGGAGGTGATGATTGTAGATGATGAGAGATGCTTGTTTTCCGCGGAAGTCCTTCAGTTCTTATAGCTTTCGTAGCACCTTCAACCCATCCCTCTTTCATGTCTAACACACCTTCCGGCATCATCTTTGACCCCAAAAATCATAGCCATGAGCAAATATCGGCGATATCTCATCGCTGAGACTTGGATACGAGCGTGACTGATTCGAGCAAATGAAGCCAAGTATGCTGAGATGGTGTTGCAAAGGCCCTACACCTCACCGACAAGTAATCACCTCGAGCAGGTCCAGCATGACAAAACATCGCTTGGGCATACCATGATGGACGCAAGATGTGAAGTTCGAAGTAACATGCTTGGCAGCCGTTGGATTAGTATACACCGGAGCACTACCAAGACCGTGCTCGGGCCGGTCTGAACAGTCGAGCGGATGCAGAAAGACGGACCGATCCAGGTAGTCGGAAGACCCTGAATGTCCCTGAATCGCAGGGCTGACCTGGTCGAGACGGACCTAATGCAGGTCATAAGTCTAGATTTGTGCCTGAATTTGGACCGAGTGGGGATAGCGAGGCCATCCTGATGACTGATACTCAGCGGTGAAGACATCTGAGATCCCTTTTCAGCTAGCGACCCAAGTCCTTGGAAGCCATATAGTTACTGCATTTGGCAGTGACCTTACTTCTGGTAATTTCGTATTAGTGCTGGGCATGCTGCTTCTGTCAACGAATAGACCCGATGTCAGCGAAAGCGCGAGCAGTCCAAGTCCTTAGGGCTGATTCGGATACGGCCTCAGTAACAATCGTATGCTTGGTAGTCTGTCACCGTCGCGGTACTTTCTGCTATGGTGCGAATACAGCGGATGTCGATGAGGATGTGAGCGGAGAGCCAGCAGTCGTTGAATCCGTATCCGACGCCGGATGCAGTGCCTCAGTAATCAGGTATTGAGGAGATGTATGTTGATGAAGCTGCCAAAGTTATAAGTAACGGGCGCAATGCTCTCTTCCAGCATCAGCTCAGTGCCTCACTATCCTTCCTGCATCCTCATCTCAAATCCTTCACTTCTCTTTCCTACATCACGGCCTTCATCAGCTACCTACCTCAACATGACTGCCTCATTCCTCAAGCTATCTCTCCTTGCTACTGCCAGCATGGCTGCAGCCGCCAGCGTCAATGCGACGGCCAACATCGACATCGACGTTTCTTTGGGAGCAATCCCCATCGAGGTCATTGCCGAGAAGGTCCATGTTCCGACCAAGGCCATGGTCGACCTCCTCAACACCGTCGACTATGTCACGATGACCGTGGAAGACTGGTGCCCCCTCCTTCAGCAACCCATTGAAGCCGTCCAGGCCTGGCCGGACCACGTCAAAGAATACGTCTTCACCGAACTCTCGCTCGAGGTCTCGGCCTTGGTCGCCCCGGAAGCCGCCAGTGTCGACGCTGTATCCGAAGTCAAGAGCAACAAGCTTGCCGCTCGCAACGACTCGGTCCGTCGCATGGAGCGTCAGGCGCTTGCCCTTCACGATGCGCGTATTAAGTCAGGCCGAAGCGGCTGCTTCCAGAACTGGGCATGTGGCTCTTGCGTCGTTGCTGCTGGGCTCGCAGGCGCTTCCGGTATCGCTGGATGCACTGGCGCTGCTTTGGCCGCTGTCGAAGGCACCGCTGGCTTTGCTCTCGCCGCAGTCTATGCTGCCTATGTTGAATGCACTGCCAAGGTTGGTGGTGCTACTACCGCCGCCATTGGTGTTTGCCACTCTGGCCTCTAATTCGATACTGTCGGATGATTCGCGGCGAATGTATTGAGGTATGACATCTGTTTCCCCTTCACCTTCCAGTTGGATCCTCGTCTAACGGCATCGCAGATTGTCTAGAGGCTTCATTACGCCAGATGTGTTGGGCGGTTTTGGGCAGGAAGCAAGGGGCTATTTGTGGCAAGATTTTGTAGATCGGCGACGTAGGCACCATGTCTCTATTTGGTCGATGTTTGGTTTTGTTAGTGTTTCGATGCTTCGATTCGAATTAATGGGAGTGAGTGGTCAGATGGCTGTTGGATCTTTAGTCGAGGAATTCACAGATCCAATACTCACCCGTGTCCCGTGTTCCGAGTATCACCAGCCCTAACGCGCGGTGACATGCATGTTGCACGTCTTCTCTCCGCTTAGAGATCTCGCCCGCGCCATTCCCACCTATTGAAAGGGCCCTTCTCCACAGCAAGCATGTCAGCGATCAGCGCAAACCCTTGCGGCTCGTCGCCATCGCCCTCAATGTTGATTGAGCTGCACGAGAAGCTGCCACATGCGGCTAGAGGGCCCCGCAAGTCTGGACCCTGAAAAGACGTCACCCGCCAAGATATGATGGCATAGCATCAGCCGCTATTGCTCAAATACATGGCAGTCGCTTAGGACCGACGTGAACGAACAATTACGATTCTTTTTGCTGCACCTGCATACCAAAGACCCTGAACATTCGGTGCGGTCCTTCTACGGCCTCTAGGGACTACCCAGCTGACTGATAGACAGGGACCAGTACCCTCCAATCACACTATTTGACACGGCACCGCCTAGACCCTAATAGTAGTTCACAGACTTCACGTACGTTCACGCTTTCAAGGTTCCAGGATGTCTTGCAGCTTACTAAGATACGACAGCACACACTGTCTTCACCATGAGCTCACGACCATCTCTCATGCCGCCCACCGAGGGCTCCTTCCTCTCATCGGGCGCCTTCACTCCCTCGGGCCTCACACCCAACACACGCTCCGAAGCCGAAGCCGCCTTCACCTCCAACAGCGCTTCGCAAACCGATGCGGCTGCTCCCGACCCAAATCTTTTGCCCCTGATGGGTGCCGGTGGAGGAAACGAGACAACAGACAATGGCCCAACTGAAGCTGTCCGTGCTTACACTGGCTACCGCCGCCCTGGCATGGCTCGAGCAAGCTCAGCGAACTACGAGAACGCACTGAAGCGAGCGCAGCAAGCGTCCGTCTCGTCCGACTTCTCCGCCGACTCTGAAGTACCCGACAACGTCACTGCGGGCCGAACAGTCGCGTCGCCGACAGGCTCCACTCCATTCCCGCCTCCCGGTCAAGGTGTAGTGCCCCTCAACTACAACTCTACTCCCGTTGGCGCCGCTCAAGGCGATGCAGTCAAGAAGACTCGTTCGCGTGGCCTGAGTCTCAGTGGCCTTGCCCAGCAGCAGGGATGGAGCGAGCAGGACTACAAGCGTGTATACAGCGCCGATTTGCTTGCTGAAGAACCGAAGAACAGCGCTGGATATGGCTCAGGCCCGAAATAAGAGGCGAGCATGACATCACGGTGCATGACGGCGTTCATGCAGACCGACACTCAGCCCAAGGGAATGCAGCGGTCATTATAGGACCGCTAGCTTGCTACAACTGCTATTACATTTACCACATCATGAGCTACATGCAAGGCGTTGGGTGGAGTTCTGCCAAAACATGGAGGTGGCAGGCCGACGATCCTGTTTAATACATCGATTATGATCCAGTGCATTTCACTATCGTCCTTGACATGAATGCGATAAGAGCCACAAACGTTGAGCAATAGCAACTACTAACTGCGTAGCATCATATTGCCCTTCTCTACCATCTTCTTATACTTCTCGCATCTCAGTTTGTGGTTGCACCTGTATGCCTCTCCACCCTCTCTACACTGCTGTGGTCCTACGCAGCATGTCATGTCTCTGCATTCGGTCCAGCAAGTCCTTTGCCCGCACGTCTGCTCACACCGTTCTTTGAACGCTTCATTGCTACTATGCAGTTTTTCGCACTTTGCTTCGCACTTCAAGTGAGCATTACCCAGGTCACAAGTCTCCAGACATGTGTCGCGAAACGCACTGCAACCTCGAGATAAAGTTTCGAGTCCATTTGGGGCGGAAGTGAGCGAGAGAGACGTCCAGTTTCGCGTCTCCGAGGAGCGGAAGGGCAAGACACAAGAACCAGTATGGCAATACGTTGGCGTACTCCCCCAGCAAGACTCCACACAATCTCGATCCGGTGCAAGCGAGGCGTTAATTTCTTGCCATGTTTGCTGCTGACATTGAGTATGGTTCTTGAAGCAATTGGGCGAGCGTAAGCTGTCTGCCAACGCGTCGAGTGTAGGTGGAATACACCTATCGTGTATGCATCGGACCCAGGACTTCACGCAGTCTTCGCACTCCACCGTATGCGCCGGTTCGAGAAGGCCAGCACGATCAGCGAGGTCTTTGCAGATCTGGCGCTCGCACGCCCCGTCGACGCCGCAATAAACGGGACCGGCTGTGCAGAGCTGAAGCTCGCATTGTAGAGTTCGCTGGTGGTCTGTTGTGTGGAGTGGGTAGGGCGGGGCCAGCTCATGCCACGGGGGATTGTATGCCATTTCGCGTTCGTGAGGTCTCTCACAGTTATTCAGGTATAGCTGGCAATCCGTACACGTTTTCACCTCCGCGTTGTCCGCACTTTTTCTCGCTTCCGCATTTGCTATCCTGTTGAGCTCTACATTCTGCAGAGACAGGATTGGAAAGCGACCAGTGAGGCTGACGTCGCAAAAGTCGCACTCGGAGCATTCTTGATCGCTACACAGATCGTCGGCTGTGTTTCGATGCGATAACGAGCTTGGAAGTACGAGGTCTTCAGCAGCGTCGCCCATGAGCGAGCGATAGTCGGCGTAGCATGAACGGTCGCATGTTTGCTGTTCCGACCCTCGGATACCGAATAGAGAGGAGAGAGACAGCGCGATTACAGGGGCCGGAAGAGATAAAATAATGGAGGCTTGTGATAGTAGCATGGCGGCGATGGGATGGGTTGGTGCGGGTTGATTGAACGAAACGGACCTCAAAGTGGGGGCCCGAAGCTTTGAACACCAGAGGACTAAATTTCTAGGAAGTACATCGTGGGAGTTTTCACTAAGAGATAAAGCTGAGAGTGAACTGACCGCCTAGGTATTCCGGGCGAGCTCGCGCGAGTCACGTGACTGTCACTTTCCGCGAACGCCGGATTTGTATCCCGCATTCCGCATTCCCTCATCTCGGCACTCTAACAAACCATGACATCCGAAGCAATCTCTCAATAAGATATAATGAAACTTAAAAAGAGCAATAGCCCATCGAAACTGTTGGTCGAGCCTGCCCGATCGAGTCGCTGGATTGAGGGTACAAACACTGAAAGCGGAGAAGGCTTGGCTTGATGCGTTGAGGATCTAGATTGTTGGATTGTATACTAGCTGATAGGCTGTTAGTTGACCGACGGCGCAAGTGTTCGAGAATGAGTTCAACTACTCGCCCATTCGGGTGTTTGTTAGCATCGGGGTAGCTCTTTCCCTCACCATCGACCTATCACCTGCTTCAGATCATGAGGCAGCCGTTACCTCTACACCGCTCGTGCTTCTAGCTTGGCCCCTTTTGTACGTCGATGTGCTTTGTAGACCGAATTTCTCCACTCTTTCCTTCCTTCCTGCACCCTCAACTTCAATTCTCTTCTCCTGCCACTATATTTCACTACCACCTCATCCTACACGCTCACTGAAGATGCGATTCAACAAGATCTTCATGGCTCTGGCCATGGTACTACCTGTGGTGTTTTCTGCCAGCATTCCATCCTCGGAGCAGTTCTGCGAGCCTGGCACTCGAAAGTGCGACTACAACGACGTGGTGATCTGCAATCCCCAAGGCACTGAATACTGGGCGGATCAGTCATGTAGCAAGACCGAAATCTGTACCATTGACACCAACAACCCTGATGATCATGGTCATTGTATCGCGATCTGCGACATCCCCGGCGAAGAGCGCTGCCTCGGCAATGAGTGGCGTGTCGCATGCAACAATGAGCACCGATGGAAAGCCATTGAATCATGCCCTACACCCGGAGTATGTAACACACTCATGAACAAGACTTCCTGCGCCACTGCGGACTTGCCACCGGCGCCTCTCCCTCCTGGCACTCCACCGCAACCTGAGCCTTGCAAAACAGTGACCGAGACGCGATGCTCAAACTGGTCAAACGGTCTTTACCGCATCGAGATGTGCAACTATGATCAATTCTGGCTTGCCTATCAGACCTGCGGATCGGAAGAGTTTTGCATGCACTGGGTGCCTGGTCAATACGTCAGCCAAGGCGAAACAAAATGCGTCTACGACCCTGAAATCCTGTCCACTGCTCCTCCTCCCAAGTCCCTCGACTCTCGGTCGTGGATCTCGCAAGGAACTCCAGATGCTCATGAGTATTGCGATACTGGCACGTCTCGCCGCTCTGGCAACAAGCGTCAGGAGTGTGTCGACAACGTCTGGAAATCAACCATGTGTCCTAAGACTTCCGAATGCGTCAAGCATGACGATGTCGTGCAATGCTGGATGAAGCCACCGACTTCCCCGACCGTACCAGAGCCATGCACGCCAGGCGATCGAAAGTGCGACTCTGACGCATACGCCCTCATGCTATGCGGAGACAACGAAATGTGGCATACCGAGAAGAAGTGCACCACTTACGGAGACTGCATCACTGACAACCCAGGCCAAGCGCATTGCGAGACAGGTGGTGTAGGTCCGTCGAATGTCCAACGTCAAACCAACAGCACCGAATGTGCCTACGGGGATTGGGCCTGCGACAGCCACCAGCGCTTCATGTACAAATGCGCTAAAAACGGTACCTGGTCGGTGCCGTACCAGTGCAGCAGGGCCGGTGGCTGCCAACCCGAGGGACCTACAGATGCCTTCCCCAAGGGAAGGATGACCTGCGCGGGCTTCCCGAAGTACTTGTACCCTTACCCTGACAACAGAGTGTGTGAAACGGTCAGAAGCTGCGAGTACATGATGTATCTCTACCCTACTGCTGTAAGTGTCCCCCTTCTCTGCTCGTTCTCTTCTACTACGAAGATGCACCTGGGCCTTGCGAACGATGACTAATGCGCTGACAGGGCTCCCCTGATGCTGAGACAAAGGAGAAGTACCGCAAGAGCATGTGCGCCGATGAGGCTGTAAGTGGACTATCATCAAAATTAGATGGAGTAGGCTAACTTTCTTGCAGTGCATGGACTGCGATCGCTGCACTTACAAACTCGGACAAGGCGAGGTGCTACAACCTGATTTGCGCACTCTCCTCCATGGATCGCCGGTGCCTGACAATTTTGACTAGTAGTCATGAGAGATTGGGGTGAAGTACCATGTCAGCTTGTACACGACAGAGTCAGTTGGTGTTGGGATTGATGTGTATTGGAAAGTACACGCGGCCTAAAAAGGATGTCAACATGCTTTCTCTATGGCGATATTTCTTACCTTAGGTAAACCTATCAATAGTCATTTGCAGCCTTCTACCAAAATGAATGGCTTACCAGCTGAATCACAAGTTTTCAAGCCGGTGACACTCCAAGTTGATATTGTCCTCTCTTCCTATTCACTCCTCAACCCAACGTCATAAGATCTTTCACAACGCCGACGCGACTGATCAACACTCTCACCCACCTGTTTTACCCAACACTCAGTTACCACGCATTCCTCTCCCAATACACGAACCAGGCAGCCATAACAACCACGCAAACATGCACCCCATCCTCCTACTCCTACCCACCCTCCTCCTAGGCCCCCTCGCCTTCGCCGCAACACCAACCACAAACCCCCGCACTACAACCTACCGATGGATCCCCAAACCCGCAACCCTGCTATCCGAGATCCCCGGATCCGGCGTTTGTGACGAGGAGATTGAGTATTGCATGAAGGTACGTATCCGCCACTGAGACCAGAGAAAGAGATTCATTGCTGGATTCGAGCTGACGCTTTGATAGACCAAGATGGGTTTAACGCGACAGCTACAGATGCAGCAGTGTAAGCTGTGGGCTTGTGCGTTTCATGATACGGTAAGTTGGGTTGGAGAATGATGGGGATGTGAGATTGGCTGGCTAACGTGGTGGTAGTGTCCTGGTACTAGGTACTGTGATGTTGAGTACACCCTCTAGCGACGTTTACGGGCGTGCTGTGAGAGAGATAAGCGTAAAATGCATGGTGAGAATTTGAAACATGTATCCGCATAGATGGTGGTAGACAGTAGCAAACAAGACGAGCCATCTGGAACAACATGGGGAATTGGTCACTGATAAATGTGAAATACCTCTATATGAGCCAAACGACCCTTCGAACTTTTGTTCCTCTTGTTGCGCCGATCTTGCCTTAGCGCCATGCTATGCTTTGAAACCACTTTTGTTGTATCCGCAACTCCTGATGTCCCGTTTATGCTGGCCCCCCGAGAAACCTCATCAGGTACCCTCCTAAAGGTCCAAAAAGCGGAAATCCTGTGTTGTGACCTCCGTTCCTGCCGAGCCACAGGGCATAGGCACCCACTACCATGGCAAGACCAACAGCTCCGTACCGGCGGTGGTGCCAAACACGCAGCTTGATGTAGTGTATTGTCTTGACGGCCTGTCTCAGGGTCTGCGCGCGACGGAGGTCCTGCTCCTGCTGCAAAAACAGCATCTCGCCGTCTTCCAAGGTAAGATGACGCAGACTGTTGTTTGTCGCAGACGATTTGAGTACGCTGGAGGAAGAGATGCGCCACCACTCCCAGCTGTTGAGCGACGCAGGAGGTAGTCTCTCGTACAGCTCAACGGTCCGAGCGATGTGGAACTCGACGTCGAAGGGCTCTGGGAGCTTCCCTAGCATGACATAGAGTATGTCTTCGTCCTCCTTCTCGTACTCCAGCAGCTCCTCCCTCTTGGATAGCACCACAGCTGCGAAGAGGTATATGGGCATGACGGCATGTCGAGCCAAGAAGAAGTCAAACAGCCTTGTGATGTCCTTGTAGTCTTGTATATTGTGGGCGAACATGGTGATTGTTCCGGCAAGCGCAAACGAAGGCTGACTCTTGGGAAGGTGCTCATACAGGACGGGATCGGCGGCGCGGAGGATCGGTCGCAGCAATTCGAGCTGGGCGAGGGCTGGATCGAGCGACGACAGCATGAAGTCGCGAATGCGAAGCAGGCTTAGTCGGGCAACTGCAGCGGGGGCATGTTCGGGGCCGAGGACGAGTAGGAAGACCTGGACGATATCGTGGTAGCCCTGGAAGTAGCAGAGCGTGGGGTGATGGCGCAGGACGTCGAGGATGACATCGGAGAGCTGCTCTTTTCGACGATTGAGCTGCTTCTCAGACTCTGGTCCTATTAGTATAAAACACAAGTTGGTTCGCTTGCATGCAACATACCGTTCCTGGGGTAGTAGACAAACGCGCGGTTGACATCCAAGCCAACCTGATGCTCATCCTTGTGCTCGGAGAGATGTTTCCATGGCTCCTTCTCTGAATCCTTGTCAGAGCATCCTAGCAAAAGAGGCCCTATAGTTGTCAGCCTAGTGTGGAGATGCGTGCAATGGGAGGCCTACAAGCAGTGCAACGCAAGCTATCGCTGACGAGGCCAGAGGGGCTGGTCGCGAGGTCTACCAGGGCGGTGACGTCGCCATTGTTGATGGCCGCGCGCACCAGAGACTCCTTCTCCTTCTCGGCAGGCGTGAGGTGGGGAACGGGGGTGGCGTGTCGCGTGGGCAAGCTGCCAGAGCTCACTGAGCGCGACACGGAGCCAGAGGGGGTGCGTGATGCCATGACAGTGCCCGCATCTCGAGACGTGCCCTCAGTACGCGGCAGCGGCAGGAAAGAGCTGGATCTGGGACGCGATGACGTGGCCAACGTGGGCCCTCGTGTGCGCAGGAGAGCGCAGGGAAGAGATGCAAGAGGGTGGCAAGATGTTTGTTGGAGGAGCTACATGCTGTTGCGCGTAGGCGTCCCAGCTGCCGGGTTGACGTGACGGGTCGCGCCTTCCTCCTTGTCCAACCGAGGCGCTTGGCATCCCACCGAGTTGTGAAGGTCAACTACCGGCACTTGCCGCCTCCCATCCCATCGCCATCATCTTTTATCCGCTGTCTGCGCGGGGGTGACGACCGTGCAACCCGACAACACCACTCGCGCCCACCCTGCACATCTTCGCCGGCGGCCATCAAGGCCCGAGACGCTGCCGTGCCGCCAAATCTTCCGTGTCGGCGCACTTGTCTGCATGCTCGACACCTTCACGCCGACCAACCATTGCTGGAAGACCTCCCGCACCCTAGTCAACTACTGCGCCGCATCACTGGACTTGCAACCAACTCACATAGCCATCGCGATCCGACCGCGATCCGACTAAGATCGTACTCCCTGCTGCACGATCATCTGGTGATCTAGATCGGTACCCCATTCCGATACTTGAAGCGCACTACACGAGCCTTTCCGCGCTCCACACGTGCTGCGTGCTAGTAGTAGGTGCAGCCAGTAACTCGATCTCTGAGAAGGTGTCCAGGGTGCTACAGTGGCCTGCTAGCTGCCGGCTTGAGTTGGTCAAGGCATCCCGGTTCCAGTTGCCTTAGGTCGCTGCTGCTATTCCACTCACCACCACTAACTGTCCAATCCAGCCCTTGCCACATCCGACAGGCTTTCTGTTGCATCAATTGATCCCAGTACCTATTGCTGAACTTCCTTGCCTCACCAGCGTGTCTGACAAGCCTGTTGCGACAGGCAGCAACATGTCATCCGTTTCAGCTCTGAACAGTGTGCCTTCGTTGCTTCTACGTGCGCTGGTCTGATCTGATCCCGTGTTGCGCGCGGAATCTGTCACCATCGATTTCGGTTTTCAAGCTATACTTTGTCTCCAGCCTTCCGAATAGGCCTTAATCAAACATCATGGCCCAAGCCCACGGCCTCAGCCTCGTCGACGGTGAGTGGGTTTCCAGACCGCTCGACCCTTATCAGATCATGGCCAACGCGCCTCAAGATGACGTTGAGATGCTGGATGCAACGCCCAAGCCAACAAGCCAAGTGCCTGAATACGGCATACTGTCGCAGACTGTCTTCGAGACACCGCTCAGCAAACTCATCCTCCCGGCGAATATACGTCACAAAGATCTCATTGACTTTGTCATGGTCGGCGAGGACTTCATACGTCTCAAAGAGATCCGTGACTATGGCCAGATCCGGCATGTAGCTTCCAAGACTGACTTCAACGGCGGCCGCATCATCACCGCCAAAGTCTTTGGCGACCCTCGTGAAGTTTCCGCAACCACAGGTGGCAGTCCTTCGCTACATCAAAATTACATGAAGCACAGGACTAGAAAGTCGACTACGGAAAACGAAGACGACGCCTTACCTCCGGAAGTCGTTGTGCTTACTCTGTCAAACCGGTCCTTGATGTTCTTGTGGGCTCAACACGATACAGCGGGTACTGCCACTTTCATTCAGAAGACCATCAAGCTACCTGCAGGGAGTTCCCGCTTGGATCGTTTTGGTACTTTCCTCGCTATAGATCCCAAATGTCGAGCAATGGCAGTCGCAGCACACGAAGGGCGCTTTATTCTCTACAAGACGAAGCCGATGGAAAGATGGAGAAGGGATTCTAGAATGAGCAATGAGATTGCTACGCCTATCGAAGATGAGCGAATCATGTCTATTGAAGGTCAGATCATGCACATGGATTTCTTATCATCAGGAGGTGGTCAAGACGATTACCACGTCGTTTTGCTGTTCGTTGTCGTCCTCCAGGGGAGGACCAGGCTCACCTGTTTCGATTGGGATTGCAGACAGGATCTCAGTAAAGCAACCCCGCGGACGGAGCGATACCTTGTCCAGCCTGGTAAGTGTATACACGTACTAAGTAAATTATGAGCGTTACTGACCTGGCCAGAGGACACGATACCTTCTCTACTCATACCCCTTCGCCGGAGTCCCGATTTCCTTCTAGTTTCCGACGACCACATCTCGGTTTACAAGAATATTCTCTCTGGGGATCCAACGCAAACCACAGTGTCGATCGACAAGTCAATACTTCAATCAATACTGCCAGGTGATGGCAAGCACGCCCCCAAGTGGACCGCTTGGGATAAGGCGCCACGCAACTCCGATTACCAAAAGGAGGTATTCTACATTGCAAGAGAGGATGGCCGTATTATGTATGTGGTGCGAGGGCCAGCGGGCACTCTGGAGATCGATGAGGCTGGTGATTGGCAACACCGGATTGACACCTCCTTTTCATGCTTGAGTATCGACAACTCAGAAATGTCGCAGCAATACCCAGATCTTCTGATTGCCGGCGGGGCAAGCAATGACGGATTGGTTTGCAAAGTCGGCACCTGGCCCGCTGAGTACTCGTATGCAGTGCAATATCCGAGCACAAACCAATTCTCCTTCGTCGACAACATACCGAATTGGACGCCTCTTACAGACCTTGCAGTGACTAAACTTTCTAGCCCGCGCGCGCCAGACGAACGTCAACGGTCTTCCATCTTCGTCGCGACCGGCAACAGTCCACATGGAGAGATCTCGGAGCTGCGACGCGGCATACAGGCTGTTGTTGACGATAGTTTCAGCGGCATAAACGGCTGCGCTGGGATTTGGGTGGTTGACCATGGAAGTCACATGGCAGACATCGAAGGCACGATGAAGAGACAGCATTATGCCATATTTTCGATAACGCTTCCGCCAGAGACTTTGGTAATTCGCATCGTTCGCACACAACCGGAGAGCCGCGCAGACTTCACTGGAGCATGGGAAGAGGGCTTCTGGGATAAGTTCCAGACACCCAGCGACGATGATCCACTCGAAGATGATCTGATGCGAGAAGAGGAGACCATCTCGGCATGTCCCTGGTCTGACACAATATCGATCCAGATCACAAGGCGAGAGGCCCGCACTCTTCTTCGGCCAACATTGAGACAAATCGAGTCTTTGAAGTTTGACTCTCCGTTGCTGTTGGCTGTCACCCATACTGCGTGCCCTTTCATCGCGCTTGCGTCTCGAAAGAGCGGTCGTGCGCTATTAGAAATCATACCAATCTCAAAGGGCGGCAACTTCGACCGATCGAATGCATTCCAATATCAGCTAGCTCATGATCCCACATGCGTAGAGACACTGGAAATCTACGGCTGTTCATATGTGTTTGTTAGTACATTCGATTCGAAGGTCTTCCTCTTCCAGTATTCGTATGATGAGACCTCGTTGATGTTGGAAGACTCCTGGGAAGACCAAGATGCCCTCAACGATTCGCAGAAGCTCTGTGAGAGTGTTGCAGTTCTAAGCAAGGACGGCAAGAATGTTCTGGTGTGCGCAATGCGGGATGGCACTCTTCTGAGTTCGCAAGTCCACGTAGAGCACGGTGGTAAGTCTGAGCAGACCCTAACACGAGACGCTTCTCACATCGTACAGTCATATCACCCCTATCCTGGAGCACTACACATATGGGCGCAGCTTCGGCCAAGATTACCCGCAGCGAAACAGATGTATCTGCAGCGTTTGTTTCTTGCGGATCAGATTTCTGCCGAGTGCGCCCCTCTTCAAGTGAATTCTCCTGTCTCGACATTGATTCCATATGGTTTACCGATCGCGGCCACCCCGAGTACAATCAATCGCCAGTATCGGCAATCTATCAATTACCATTCCTTCCAAACTTGGACGCTGTTGGGAGAAATCTCGGTGGGTTCCTCTTTGCAGTCGCTGGAGATCGTCTACTCTTCTCGCAGCTCGATGCAGACGTGAAATGGTCAAGCCAGGACAAGCCTTCTACTATTCTGCACGACTCCAAGATCGTTCCTAGGAAACTCATCACGGGCGCCAAACCGACCAATATACTGTACATGCAGAAGCTACGGCGAGTACTAGTGTCGACTATGGAAGCGAAAGAGAGACGAGGGCCACCTTGTGGCGAACGATTATTGCATTCATCAATCAAGCTACTGAGGGTGCGCGACGACAGACCGACCGATGATGTGGAGGTCAAACAGGAGATTGAAGCGCCGGTGGAGCGACTAGTCGTTGCCCAAGCTCCTTTGATGAACGCCGAGAGGGTCTATTCCATCGTCGAATGGCAGTTTTTGAACAAAGATAGCAAGAGATATAATCTCATCATCGTTGGTACCGGAGTCCAGACCGGCTCCTCGCAGCATAGTGGACGGCGACTGATCTTCAACACTGGCAAATCGGGCTCCAAGCTGGATTTGCAGAAACAGTCAACATATAACGATCCTGTCTATGGCATAGCGCTGTGGGACAACCAGACGACAGTCAGTATCGTCGGGAAATCTTTATGCATCGATCGTTTCGACGAGGAAGCCGGTCGATGGTTCCAGCGCGGTAAAACAGATCTGCACTCTCCAGGGATTCATGTGTCTGTCATACAGCCATTCGTCTACGTTTCAACGCTCCAGCACTCACATCTTTGCTTCAAAGTTGTGGAATCAGCACGACCCGAGACTTTCGAGTTCGTGCGAGAGTTCTCTGATAGTGGTATGCGCAATTGCGCGCGACATCTCGTCATGGATCTGCCAGGCAAGGAGGGCCATGGCAACGATCGGTTCGTCCTACTCACTGATAAGAAGAGCAGCTCGGTCACAGGTCTCTACCAGCCACCTCTCTTAACCTATAGTAACGCTTCACCGACGTTATTCGAAGCATGTCTCTCCCGGTCTGTGATTCGTCTTGACCGCGGCGACATCCGCCCACCTTGGCGCCGTCCAAATCCCGCAGGAAAGATCACCGGAGTCCTTGTCGACGATATCATCGGCGCTTGTACCGATGGCACGATCTACTCTTTCTCCATTCTGTCAGCATCCGCCCGTCTAATACTCCGCCTGATACAAAACCTGATTGAGGTCAAGACCAACCGATCAGGCATCCACAAACACGACACGGTCAAACCTCGTAGTGGCGATATCTTCAACATTCTCATGAATAATATCCCTGGCAATCAGCATGGTGAGATCTTGGTCAGGGATGTAGATCCACGTTATCTGGGGCAAAGTCTTCAGCGAGGTGCCAAGCACAAGCACGTGGAAGGCGACTTCCTAAGAAACTGGCTACATGAAGATGGCGACTTGAAGGATTTAGTTTGGAGCGACGCAGACGAAGAGGTCGGAAAGCTCTTCCAGAAGCTGGCGCTGGATGTCGGGGAAAGATGGGGAACGAAGAATACTGGGGAGACCAATGGGCACGAGAAGCAGCAGTTGTGCGAACACGTAAAGAGATGGATGAGCGAGGTACTCATGCCTGTGCTATAAAGAACCGAGCGCTCATACTAGGGCTGGCTACAATCATGTCGCATCCAGGAAAGAAAAGTTATTTGAGGTAGAAGCACGCGTCATCTTCGAAAATATTAACTTGTTGGAATTGAATAGTGTCCACCTTCATCCACACCTCTAGTAAGACATCCTATCTCATGTCGCACACTGTTCGTCCACAACCACGCAAATCAACGATGAGACAACACTGTCTCCCAAGCATCGTGTAAACAGAACCACATGAGATTCATTAGTACTTAAACTCAACCGAACCAGCTTTGACATGCCATCTTGCCATTTTGACACATCGCCATATCGCCATATCGCCATATCGCCATATCTTCATACTGCCACCCTGCTATGCCACCATGCCCACAATGAATCTCTTCTGCCTCTCCCTCACCATCAACAAGCCAAAGAAGAAGGAGTCATCATTCAATTTCATACGCCTTCATCCCAAACCACACATTGAACCCCTCGTTACGCCTCCTGCTTCCCCGCTAGACTCGGCTCCGCCTGCTCCTCCTCCTCCTCCTCCTACTGCTTCACACCCGCCACCAAAGCGATGCGAGTCTCCAGCCTCGCAGTCGGATCCTGCGGCTTCGAAGTTCACGGAGCGGCTCGAACTTCCGCCGAGCTTCTATGAAACGTCATTTTCGGAGTCGACAAGGGAGTTGGTCCCCCAGCCTTTGGACGTGCAGCAGATGGAGACTCCTGAGGCGCGACGTAGTGATGCAGTGAGTACCTGTCTCCAAATGGGTGCTAATAGGGAGTAACAAGTATAGACACATCCTTATCTGAGGACTTCGGTTTATGGGGTTGTTGATAGTGCGGATCGCGATGGGTATGTTGAGGGGGGTTGTGACGGGGACATGAAGAAAGCAGCCTGAGCAAGTTTGGTGAGGGTGAGAACGGATATGTTGGGAAGGGGTAGTTTGGAAAGAGCGAAGTGAAATAGGTACTCCATCGTTTGAGCATGTGGAACAGGAATGGTGGCACTGGTTAGGCGTCTAATACGATTCTTGCCACTTATCGAAATAGTTCTTGCTCGCTAGAACATAGCTGAAGTGCTTCACATTGACTTTGAACGAAACGAAAAAAAGGCAGGATGATATATTCATTGATCTGGCGTACCTGTGATCTCCAACAAGAGCAAGGTGAAGGGCCTCATAGCTCATACAGTAGTCGTGCACTATGTGTTCTAGCTGACCCTTGAGTCGCATCTTCAACTAAATATGGAAGGGATGAGAAAGAGATCGCATCTTCAACCTTGCCGTCACACTCGCTTCCTTAACCTTGATGCAGCCATACATGAAAAAGGCTGAGCGTCATCGGAGGCCTATTGCTCCGGTATAGCCTTGTGACGTGTCAAAGGGCACACTGGCGTTTCAAAACCCCCACATCATAGCAGATTTCCAAGCTCGAGTGGTCGTGTTGTTGTTGCGCCCCTGCATATTTGGTCCCGTGATGCATGAAAGGGCACACTGTTGTGTAACTTGTGTCACCCTACACTAGCCGAAGTAGTACAAGGGCTTTTACAGCCTCATAGTCCCGAAGTAGTGTCTACTGGGCGTCGCCCACCTTGCGCATCGTAATTGATTGTCGCTCGCTCATTTCACTTCCTTGCTGTGAACGAGACACGAACGAACGAGGTTTCGAAACGGCTTTATCCCATCAACTTCCAATTCCATCGATCTCCCTATTATTTTCCGACTGCAACACCTGTCGACGGCTCAGAACAAACAGTCGAGCATTTCGAACCCACGAAAACGACCGTTCAACATGCCTTCGACTCCTACATTTGGGCAAACGCGCAATGGTTGCCTCGATCGGGCTGTTTCGGATGACCATCCCGTGGCTAGCGGGGCTGGTCTCCGGTGAGTTTTTTTTTAGCACATACTAAGTCGTACAGCAGGTTAGGTAACGGGACACAATACCCCTACACCCTCGTCGGGAGCCACACGCTAGTGGAGGACGCCCGAGCCGTGTGGAACGGTGATGCCGATCACCTACTGGGTAACAACGAACAACTCGCCGACATCGACGGCATCCATGGTATCGATCAAGATCTTGTCAACGCCGTAGCCTCATATGTCCTCGGCATGAGTGTCGCTCTGCGAACTAACAGCGGGAACACTATACCATATGTGTCCCTACACCAGCTTCGCATTCAAGCCCCTGTCTCTCCGGTTATACCCCCAGTCAACAACCAAGTCCAACATGGCAATGTGACTGCTTCTCGTCAGTGCCCCTATGGATGCCCTAATACCTTCGGTCGTCCTGGAGAGTACCGCCGTCATATGAAGAAGCATAACGGCCCCTTCTTCCCCTGCACCCGCCCTCACTGTGGTAGGATGTTCTATCGCCAAGACAAGTTGAGTGACCATCTTAACAAAGGCCATTGATGGATGGGGGATTTGCATGGAACAAACGTCTCTTCCATGCCTTGACACAAGGCGATTTAGCTAATTTCAACGGTGCTACGAGAGCATGAAGCAATGGCGAATGCAGAGCAGGTTAGGCTGGCGGAGGATTTCATTCTTATTTCTGTACTTTGTGTCTTTGAGCTCGTATGTATCTCCTTCCGTTACATAACCAGAACATAATAACAGTAACATGTTACGAGGCTTCATCGCCGCCTCTGTATCTGAAACGAAGTGATCTCACATGCGAAGTGGAAGACTTCTTCCGCCAGAACGCCGAGCTGAACAGTCTAGACGGTCGAGGACCAATGGTGTCTCGTACGCTCAACGAGAACAACGAGCCACATAACTCATCATAGGCGTCTGTTTGGTCCCGGGGATGAGCCGCAAACATGGACTCGGGCTCACCGTTCAATGTGAAGATATGAGCATTGACAGGGCATCCCGAGATCGCTACACTGACCACTGTCGACCTGTCGTCAGCGCCTTCTTGAGTCCATATTAAGACGCTGAAGAGGTCTCGTATCTTCATTAGATGTCGCTGAAGCGACGCGGCTGCTGACCTAACAATCTGCACGTCTTCATCCGCGGCTCCTTCGCACATCTCTTGGATGAGAGGCTCGTCGATGAAGCTGAGGAACATGACGCATAACCAACCCTTACGAGCTTCCGACTTGACAGTATGTAAAGGTTGAAGAGCTCTGCATATGTGCCCGAAAGTGGGTTCAAGAAGTAGAGGGTCTACTAAGTCGAGTGAAAGCCTTCGGATGATGTCTGGTACGCGATGACTATATGTTATGCTTTCGGGAAAGTCAAAGTCGCGCGTTTCGCGTAGGTGATTGAATGCTGACTCCAAAACTTGCGAGAGTGGCAGTACTTGAGTGATGCGCCCGAGCTGGATCGCGTCTAGAGTAAGCTCATCGGACTGGATGGCAGCCCTATGCTTCTTGTTGGGCTTCAGACGGTCTTCAAGTCGGGTCAGAACGAACGGTGCCATTGCTCCATCTCGCAATTGCATGGGCATTCCAATAGATAGCGGAACAGCATACAGCCAGCTCATCCGGCCTTCTTGCACCAGCGCATTCACAATCACATCGAGTGCTTCGTTCGCACTATGTGCTGGGTTTGGCTTCACATTCTTGAGTCGCAGCATACCACACAAGGCATAGTACTTATCCGAAGGTACCGTCGCGATGAGTGTAGAAGCTAGCTGCAACACATTCGCGTCGCACAGCTCATAGGTCTGGGCTTCGTCGTAATTCTGCCGGAGATACCAGAGTCTGCGGCACCAGGACGCATACTCGTCGAGCCATGTTTCTCCCAGGTTACGGCGGTATAGGAGCGCAGCAATCACAGCGGTGTCAGCGAGAGGAAGCCACTCGCCACTGTCATCCCAGGTGAGTAGATAATTCTGACTGAGTAGGATCTCTTGTAGAATCCAGGCTCTCTCGCGCCACGTCGAATGACATAGGATTCTCAACGCGTCGAGTGCGGACGTCTCGAGCTCTGAGTCAATCTCCGGCAGCGATGTGCAAGATTGACATAGAAGGCAGCTGTGTGGGACCATTTGCGCAATGTCTCTGAGCCTCAGCGGGCCAGACAATGGGCAGTGCATGCGCCTCTTGACTTCCAGCACTGGGCTTAGATCCAGCCCAGGTATTCGCAGGAGCAAGATCGTGCAACGCGCCTCATAATATATCTCATCCATGCGCGGTATCCAATATGACTTGTCCTTGCTCGACTCTTGGTCGATGCACATGCAATCTAACCAACAGCGAGTCGCCTTCCCCGTGATAGCTTTCATGCCCGGAGAGGCACGCTCTCCCAGAAGGGACGTCAGCCGCTTCTGGAGCGCTGCCCAGCTCGGAAGCTTATCCGATGCATTATCTCGCCATTCACTCCATACGTATGATATCGCGACGTGGGTACGGAACCCGCTGGTGAGGTAGGCGTGGCGATCGATCTGGCGGTGGAACAAGGACGTGCTTGGGTCTATGAGGGCAAAGGCGGATCGGGTCGAGGAGAGATGCGATTTCGGGAGTTCTTCCGCCATTCAAACATGGTCGTAGCCATGAATACGGCGCTTTTGGTGCGATTGGAATGTGAACGTTGGAAGAGCTGAGTAGATGGAATGCGTGTGAGTGCTATCGAAGCGTCGACTTCGGGATCAGCTGGAGCGGTGCAGCGACTATACCTATCTGGGTTTAGCCACCTCATTCTCTCCAGCGCGTCTGGTAGAACGCGTCGAAACCCACTGAGGAAACGTCGACTCCATCTACAGCTCGATACTATCCAAAGTCCTGTACTGCCTTCAAGCTTGTTTGGCCGACCACCTTGTCATTATGCGTGCTGCTATCCCAACTGCTCCACCTTCTAACCAACGACATGGCCCACACAGCTGCATCGCTCAGTCAACGTGTCAATGGCACCTCTGCGGTCACTTGCCAATGATTCTTAGCTATCTGAGTCATTCCAAGATGTAGCATCATAATCTTCGACAGCAACGTGACAAAAGGTGTCAGAGCTCTAGTGCCGACGCGAAAGTTGGAATTAAGAGAAGCTCGCTTCTACCTCGCAACAAAGATGCAGCGCAGCAACGTCTTCCTTAAAATATAAAAAAAAGTTAAGCTACTCTTAAGAGTCTCTACTTTAATTCTATTTTATTAGAATATTAATTTTGTGTTGTTGTTGTGGTAATAGAGCACCCTACCCTCCACTACCTTATTTCTAGCTTTCGCGTCGGCACTAGAGTCAGAGATAGGCGAGGCTGGTGGAGGCATCGCAAGATCGCGACCCCCGATGACGATAACGCGATGACGTCGTCTGAAACCGCAACAGCCCAAAACACGTCTGACATGTGAAGGACCGGTAGCACAGACACGCTACACCGACTATCTCCCGTCTCGAGGCCGTTGAAAGCAAAACTTCACTTTCCATCTGTCCGAGCCAGTAATGGCTCTATTTTGAGCATCAAAAACTTGACAAGCGCGTCTCAGCTTGCATCAAACCGGTCAACAAGAACCCTTTTCCGAAGCCGGAAAACACATTCTAGCCGATATCAAATGCACGATGGCGAGCCCTTTGCTCGCGGCCCTGAAAATCTCAGCCGCACTAACGGCTAACAGTGGGTCCGCACGCGTTATCATCACTCCACTTAGCGCGTGAGGCGAGCGTGGCGCATCATCTTGATGTCGTTCGACGCAAATTCTCGAAACGGTTCCGGGACAAGTCGGGATGGTGCTTGTTGTGCACGATTTTTGCTCGCCAATTTTTCTGCTGGTGACTGGTTTCAGGGTCATGTTGGGAAGGCGCGGCGAAGGCGGAGGTGTATAAGAGGGATTGTGGCTCTGGGGTTTGGGCTTCTGTCATCCACATCTGCATCCATTTCACTTCTTATCAAACGAAGATAATATACGTCATACCTCAATAACTCCACCTCAATCAACTATCCATTTAACAATCAACATCGAAATGCCTTCCTTCAAGGGTTTGTTCACCTATTTACCAACTTTTTATTCCATACTAACAACCTCTCCAGACTCCGTATCTTCCACTCCCGCCGGTGCCTCAGGTGCCCCAACTCCAACCTCCACCTCGGCACCCACATCAACCCGCGAGACTCTCCACGCCGCATCCGCCGCACTTGGTCTGACCTCTCAGGGTCTTGACCTGTGCCCTCACTGCTTCCGTGAGATGTCGCACTGCAACGAGCGTTTCGAGTTTGCTTAAGCGCACCACAACGCAAACTCAACTGCCGACAATCACACACACTCGGCATTGTACTTTATCAGAACTCTCTTCCCGAACGACAGCGAAAGCTGGCGTTTTGGCATTGAGGGGCTACGACATTTCAAATTTTTCGGCATGGCATTGGGCATTGGATGGACGGCATGATTGGCGTTTACTCTGGGACTGGGGGAAACTTACAGGAAACGGCATACCCTACTTTGAGCGATTGCATATCATCACGAGGATAGAATCTTCGTATCGCATCTCAATCGATTTCATACATTCTTCTATCATGCTACAACATTAGTGAAATCTCGTGTCGTAGTTTGCTTTAGCTGTGAGTTGACACCTAGGCATTCTTGATCGGGATGTGAAGCTGGTGCGACAATGTTACGATACTGTGGAATCCACTTACACAGTCTGTTGTATTCTGTTCACACAACTGCTATTTATAGGCCTGAAGCGTAGGAATTTTCGAATGCAAAGGAGATGTTCCCAGTGGCGAGGGTGTTAGTGGGCTGACGTCATCGCGAGCTTCTGCATTCTGCTGTTCACATCTCACTGCAGCGTCCCAAATCTGCAATTCGCATTTTGTGTGGGCTCAATGCGTCCAGTATACGACGTACGCGATATAGTCGGTGTGCCCAGGTGGGTAGTCTGGAGATACGCGCAGCCGCTACCCCGCCGATACCCGGACGCAGCTTCCACAGAGCGTTAGTCAACGCCATGCACATCACGATAAGACTTTTCCTCAACACCAAGCTTTTCTCTCTCATTCCCATGCCATATCCCAAGCATGGCTATCGCCCAAGAATTCCGACGTCCTTCGACCATTCAAGAGGAGGAGACCACACCCCTCCTGCCGCGCGATGAGCCGAAACCAAGAGAAGAAAAAACGGCCGTCCCGGTGCTATTCCGGGCTTTGATATGCGCGTTCCTTGTGTCGTTGACATTCAGTATTACGCAGGCTCCTATGCTATACGCGTTCCGGATATTGACCTGCGATGCGTATTACGAACATCATGAGCCGGATCCGAACGCTTTGGATAGATGTGCGAGACGCGAAATCGACGCTGGGGCGGCCAGGGCTTTTGCACTTCTGGCATCATCGACTACGATATTCGGCCTCGTCAATTTGCTGGTAGCTGCATGGACTATCAAACGCCTGGGCGTCAAGTTGGCTCTGATCATTCAGATCTTCTGGCCTGCGGTCCGTCTTTTGATCCAGAACATCGGTATCATGCATGGCGGGA